GAGAGAGATAGAGAGTTAGAAACATCGATGAGAGAGAAACATCGATCAGCTGCCTCCTGCACATCTCCCTCTGGGGATTTGCCCGCAACCCAGGTACATGCCCTTGACCGGAATCGAACCCGGGACCCCTCAGTCCGCAGGCCGATGCTCTATCCACTGAGCCAAACCGGTCTCGGCCTTTTGGTAGTATTTTTATTGGGGTTTCATTTAATTTATAATCTGGAAAAGTTTTTGCAAAATTTGGTCTTGCTATTCAAGAACCAACTGTGTCTTTTTTTGTTATTTTAGTGGCTTTTAAATATCTCTCAATAGAATTTTAAAGTTTTCTTCATATAGGTCTTTCAAATTTATTTCCTTTAATCTTAGATTCTTATTTTGACTACTGTTGTAAACAAAACTATTTTCTTTTATTTGAAGTGCTTGTTTGCTCATTTCTACTAATGAGCTAGTAGAAGTTACCTTATTCTAAACTGTTTCCCAGTTGACTTAGAGTTTTTTAGATATCAGCTGGAAGAAATGATCTATTTTGTCTCTCTTTTCAAAATGTTCTTATTTCTTTTTCCTAATTGTGATAACTAGTGGTTCCAGAAAAATATTAAGTAACAGCATTGATAGTGGGCACCCTCTTTGTCCCTCATTTTAATGGGGTACTTCTGATGTTTAATTTATATGATGCTGACTTTTGGGTTTGTTTTTACAATGTCAGTGAAATACCTCTGTATTTCTATTCTACTGGTCTCCTCTCTCTCTCTCTCTCGCTCTCATGCAATCAGAGATGAATGTTGAATCTTGTCAAATGTGTTTTGGATGCTACTCGTAATATTTTTTTCTCTTTGTACTTATGATAATATGGTGGATTAGTTTAATATGATTTTAATATTGAATCATCTTATGTTTCTTCGAGGTGTAATTCTCAAAAGTTCTGATGAATATTCTCTGCTAATATATGAATACTTATGGCTTTGATACAAGTGAGATTTCCACTTTGATTTCTTTTTCTGAACTTCATCAGGTTTTGATTATCACTGCTCTATTGACTTTGTAAAAATAGCTCAGAAGTGTTTTTTCTCTGTTCTTTGAAAAACTGTGAATAGTAACAGAATGACATCCCCTGAAGGCTTGAAAGAGTTAACCTGTGCAGACAGCTGGCCGGATGTATTTTTGAAAGATACTCATTTGATACGTTCTCATTTTGTCCTGTGCTCATGTTGGGCTGTTTCGGTTTTTCTCTTCTCTGGGATCACTTTTGGTGATTTGCATTTTCCTAGAAAAATCAACTATTTCGTCCAGTTATTCAAATGGATTTGGGTCTTTTCCGTTTTATCGGGGTTTGAGACTATTATCCCTTTCTAGCTTCTAACTTTGAATATAGGCCCTCTCCTCCCCCTGTGCCCGTTATATTGGCCAGAGGTTTATCGACCTTATTGGTCAGTTCTATTATTTGTGTTTGCTAATTTACACGCTTCTGGTCTCATCTTCATTGCTTCCCTAATTCCCTTTGTGAGGGGAAACCCGAGAAATAGAAAAGTAGGACCGGGAAAAAGAAGCCAGCTTTTGGAGTAAGGTTCCAGTGTGTGCAAGGAACAGGAGGGAAGGAGGAGGAAGGGTGAGGCAACCTGGGGCGGGGGTAGGGGTGGGGTGAAGAAAGGGGACATCTGTAATACTTCCAACAATAAACAACAACAAAACCAAGGGTGACTGGCAGAGGGAACTAGGGAAGGTTTCCTAAGGCCAAGGCCTGCCTCTGCCCTGCCTGTGCCCAGCCTCTGCCCAGCCGAGTCACCAGCTCTCTCTACTCACCAGCCGCACGATCTTCAACGCTCCGGTGGGTGAGAAGAAAAAACGCTTGATGCTGTCCCTGAACCTGGGTGGGACCTTGGTCCGGCCCTCCGCGCGCTTTTGGATCGCCGCCTTCTCCCACTCGCTGGGGGCCGGCTGTTCGCTTGGCTTCTGGTCGGGGGCCTTCTTGGGGACTGCGGGTTTCGCTTTGGGTGCTGGGTGCACCGAGCGTACGGATGGCGTTGAGCGTTTGGGTTGATTCTTTGCGGGGGCGCTGCGCCCGGGGCGCCCCGAGGCGCTCTCTTCAGGTCCCATCGCTTCGGAAGTATACATGGTGGGCCCCGGGGCCTGGCTCTGTGAGGTTGGCCCTGCGCCTCTGACCCTGCTCTGTGGCCGCCGGCTCTCCCCCGGCCCCCGGCGTCGCGCCCCA